CCCATACTTCCTTATAATTCCCTCTCAAACCAATCTCCCTACCGTCCCGCACAATGACTGGTCTTAATTGAAATACAATTGTGAGCTGATTTAATTTCTTGGGGATTTTGACGTTGGAAGAAAAGAGACAGAGCAGGGGAAAGGAGAGCACGCGAGGAAGAAGACTAATAGAGATGTTTTTATTCTAATCGTCTTTCTTCTAATTAAATAATGGGCTTAAAGCACATAAAGCCCAAAACAGATAAACATAAAATAAATCCCACAAATTCCCTTCTGATATCCCAGACCGAGTGGGCTTCGAGGCTTGTCTAGGTTGTTTCACAAATTAACTAATAGGCTTGTTTAAATTTCGTTGGCATTTAGAGACCGAGAAACAGGGGAAGAACAGGGAAAAAGAACTACAGAAGATACAAACGTTTAGGTTCAATCAAGTTCAGATCAGAGAAGCCATGGATCCTTCGTCTTGACGGGTAGTACGGATACCCATAATACCCAAACGGGTATTAACGGGTAACCCGCGGGTACCCGTTATAGAGTTTCTTGATCCCAAATCCCATCCCGAAAAAAAAAATTACGGGTATTTGGGTACCCGTAACCCTAAAAAAACGGGTATGGGTATACCCAAATACCCGTTTCTCGTTGTCCACCCCTAAGGCTCGGCCTTATTCCGTGATCTGCAACCTCCAGAATCGAAAGAAAATGGCATTTAGGAAAAATTGCCCGAAATCTGTGATAGTACCCCTTTGGAATCTGCCAAAAATGGGCCCGGAATAAATTCGCCCAAATCGACACTTAATGGACTTAATCATCGTTGAAAAATAGCCTCCGGCCGAATCCGTAATCTGTAGCCTTCAAAATCCAAAGAAAAATGGCCTTTCGTCGCCAAAAAAATCACGAAAATGCCATCCGAAAATAAATTGGCCCAAATCGGTGCTTAATGGACTTATTATACGTGGAGAATAGTATCAATAGACTTCATTATCGGTGGATATAGGCTCGGCCTGATTCCGTGATCTGCAGCCTCCAGAATCGCAAGAAAATGGCATTTCGGAAAAATTGTCTGATATCTGTGATGGTATACCCCTTTGGAATCTGCCAAAAATGGGCCCGGAATAAATTCGCCCAAATCGACACTTAATGGACTTTATCATCGTTGAAGAATAGCCTCAGGCCGAATTCGTGATCTGTAGCCTTCAAAATCCAAAGAAAATGGCCTTTCGTCGCCAAAAAATTACGAAAATGCAATCCGAAAATAAATTGGCCCAAATCGGTGCTTAATGGACTTATCATCCGTGGAGAATAGTATCAATAGACTTCATTATCGGTGGATAAAGGCTCGGCCTGATTCCGTGATATGCAGCCTCCAGAATCGCAAGAAAATGGCATTTCGGAAAAATTGTCCGAAATCTGTGATGGTACCCCTTTGGAATCTACCAAAAATGGGCCCGGAATAAATTCGCCCAAATCGACACTTAATGGACTTTATCATCGTTGAAGAATAGCCTCAGGCCGAATCCGTGATCTGTAGCCTTCAAAATCCAAAGAAAATGACCTTTCGTCGCCAAAAAAATTACGAAAAAGCCATCCGAAAATAAATTGGGCCAAATCGGTGCTTAATGGACTTATCATCCTTGGCGAATAGTATCAATAGACTTCATTATCGATGGATATAGGCTCGGCCTGATTCCGTGATCTGCAGCCTCCAGAATCGAAAGAAAATGGCATTTCGGAAAAATTGCCCGATATCTGTGATGGTACCCCTTTGGTATCTGCCAAAAATGGGCCCGGAATAAATTCGCCAAATCGACACTTAATGGACTTAATCATCGTTGAAGAATAGCCTCAAGCCGAATCCGTGATCAGTAGCCTTCAAAATCCAAAAAAAATGGCCTTTCGGTGCCAAAAAAATTACGAAAATGCCATCCGAAAATAAATTGGCCCAAATCGGTGCTTAATGGACTTATCATCCGTGGAGAATAGTATCAATAGACTTCATTATCGGCGGATATAGGCTCGGCCGGATTTCGTGATCTGCATCCTCCAGAATCGAAAGAAAATGACATTTCAGAAAAATTGATGGTACCCCTTTGGAATCTGCCAAAAATAGGCCCGGAACAAATTCGCCCAAATCGACACTTAATGGACTTAATCATCGTTGAAGAATAGCCTCAGGCCGAATCCGTGATCTGTAGCCTTCAAAATCCAAAGAAAATGGCCTTTCATCGACAGAGAAAATGGCCTTTCGTCGACAAAGAAAATTACGAAAATGACATCCGAAAATAAATTGGCCCAAATCGGTGCTTAATGGACTTATCATCCGTGGAGAATAGTATCAATAGACTTCATTATCGATGGATATAGGCTCGGCCTGATTTCGTGATCTGCAGCCTCCAGAATCGAAAGAAAATGGCATCGGAAAAATTGCCCGATATCTGTGATGGTACCCCTTTGGAATCTGCCAAAAATGGGCCCGGAATAAATTCGCCCAAATTGACACTTAATGGACTTAATCATCGTTGAAGAATAGCCTCAGGCCGAATCCGTGATCTGTAGCCTTCAAAATCCAAAGAAAATGGCCTTTCGGCGCCAAAAAAATTACGAAAATGCCATCCGAAAATAAATTGGCCCAAATCGGTGCTTAATGGACTTATCATCCGTGGAGAATAGTATCAATAGACTTCATTATCGGTGGATATAGGCTCGGTAGGGGTGGAAAACGGGACGGGATTGGGTACCCGTCCCATTTGAAACGGGTACCCAGTCCCATTTTGAGAGGAAACCCCATCCCATATCCCAAACCCTTACGGGTTAACGGGTACCCATTACCCGTACGGGACAGATAACAGGTACCCGCGCGGGTACCCATACTTCCTTATAATTCCCTCTCAAACCAATCTCCCTACCGCCCCGCACAATGACTGGTCTTAATTGAAATACAATTGTGAGCTGATTTAATTTCTTGGGGATTTTGACGTTGGAAGAAAAGAGACAGAGCAGGGGAAAGGAGAGCACGCGAGGAAGAAGACTAATAGAGATGTTTTTATTCTAATCGTCTTTCTTCTAATTAAATAATGGGCTTAAAGCACATAAAGCCCAAAACAGATAAACTTAAAATAAATCCCACAAATTCCCTTCTGATATCCCAGACCGAGTGGGCTTCGAGGCTTGTCTAGGTTGTTTCACAAATTAACTAATAGGCTTGTTTAAATTTCGTTGGCATTCAGAGACCGAGAAACAGAGGAAGAACAGGGAAAAAGAACTACAGAAGATACAAACGTTTAGGTTCAATCAAGTTCAGATCAGAGAAGCCATGGATCCTTCGTCTTGACGGGTAGAACGGATACCCATAATACCCAAACGGGTATTAACGGGTAACCCGCGGGTACCCGTTATAGAGTTTCTTGATCTCAAATCCCATCCCGAAAAAAAAATTACGGGTATTTATTGGGTACCCGTAACCCTAAAAAAACGGGACGGGTATGGGTATACCCAAATACCCGTTTCCCGTTGTCCACCCCTAATTACATAAGAGATTGTATAATAGAAGTTGACTATTGGATCGGTAAAAAGAGATCTGGATAGGCCAAGAAACGAAAGCCTGGGTCCTTCTTTGTTTCTGCTTGTTTTTACTCTTCAACAAGGATGGTAAACGGGTGGGTCAAAAGAATCGGGCCAAAATTTGTAATGGACAGCCTTCAAAATTGGTGAATACTAGCATGGAATTCTGGGAAGGATAGCCTCAAATTTTGTGAATAATTGCATTCAAAAAAATTTTCCAAAATCTGTGATGGATAGCCTTCAAAATAAGTGAATTATAGCATTCCCAAAAATAGACAAAAGTTTCTGAGGATAGCCTTCAAAATCGATGAATAATAGCACTCAACAAAATTTGCCAAAATCTATGATCGGTAGCATTCAAAAGAATCGCCAAAATATGTGATGGATAACTTTCAAAACATATGAAAAATAGCATTCCCCAAAATTGGCCAAAATCTGTGATAGTTAGCCTTCAATCAATGACAAATAGCATTCTAAAAAATCGGCCTGAATATGTGGTGGATAGCCTTCAAATGGGTGAAAAATAGCATTCTCAAAAATCGGCCAAAATCTGTGATAGATAGCCTTCAAAATTTGTGAATAATAGCATTCATAAAAATCGGTCAATGATTCAGGCGTGACTGTACATCTTTTACCCCTTTATATCTTGATTATTTGACTTGGTAATCTTGTTCCTCGGCCCATTTTACGCTAGGTTATGCTTCTTTCGCCACATTTCGGGTCCTAGTACGTGTGTGAAGTTGGGGGCAGGTTATGGGACATTCGGAGGTCAAAACAAGCCAAAAAGTGGTTGACGATATAAAAATTAGATAACATACTCGATCTCATAGATACCTATAGAATTCTGTGGAAAGCCGTATTCGACGAAAGTCGTATATACGGCTTGGAGGGAGATCTTTCATATCTTTCGAGATTCACCCTACAATATGGGTCAAAAAGCCAAAATAAATGATTTTATTATCCCCTAGAAAAAGAAAACGGATTCTTGAGAACTCCTTGCACGCTCCTGTCACGTCGAGGTGCTACAGAAGAAAAAACTGCAAAATCCGATCCAATTTATATATCGTAATAGACGTGTTGAATTGATCTGTGTTGGTAAGTCGACACAACAGTATTAAGAATATCAATGGAAAGTAAGAAGTTAGATGGATAATTTACTGAGCAAATAAGTTTCAGTAATGAAACTAATGCATGCATACATGAATGTATATATATAGATAGATAGATAGGTAGATGTAATTAAGTTAAAAATAATGTGTGACATTATTTCTACCCTATAAAGCCATACAAATTACTAACCAGTTACCCATACATACGTTATATACGTATCTATATACCATCTCCCCCTCAGTCGTCTAACACACGCATAGAAGGAAGGAAGCGATCGAGCTTAATTAAGGTTATATGAAAATGGCTGGAGCGTGCGTGTACATATTATATATTCACAGAAGGGAGTTGGAGGGATCCAAAGCGAACTCCACCACAGATCTAAGCTCGTCGAAATCCCCAAAAGGTAATAGCTGATCTTCATCATCACGATGACGATGATGATGATGGACGTTATTAATGTTGTTATGCTCGCTGCCGTACGGGCTGGACGTGTTGGACGAGGAAGCTGCCATGGACGACGACGACGGGAATGATGCGGCAGCAGCTGCGACGTGGCTGCTGACGGATGGCTTCATGTCCACGTGGTGGTGGGGGCCAGCAGAGAAGTCGATGAGGTGTTCGCCACGTGTGTAGTAATTAGCTGACGAGGATGAGGTGTAGTAGTTGTAATTGGAGGATTCCATTAACGTGGCACTACTGCTACTGCATGGGATGTTGTTGTTGTTGGAAGTGGTGGCGGTGGCGGTGGTAGAAGTGAGGGTGTTTGTGGCGGGGCGTTTGGATGACGTGGACAGCTCCCTCCAGTCTGGAGTGTACTTTCTGTTGGAGGAACTTCTCTTGAAGATTCGGCAGATTGTCCATACCTCCTGTATTCAAGTACAAACGGTAAGATCCAAGGAATCCTAGCATCGAACTTGCACCATATTTTAGAGGTGTTATTAGGATATCAAATACGTCTTACAGCTTCTTGGGTGGAGGGCGAGGAGGAGGCGACGTGGGGGAAAATGAGGTTGGTAGCGGCGGCGGCAGTTTCCGGGGTGGGAAGGCGGAATTCATGCATCATCCAGTCGGTCTTGGTGCCTTTCCCGGCGCTGCCGCGGTAGTAAACTAACGTCTTCTTCAGCCCAATGCAGTCTTTCGATCCACCCGCTGAGTAGACCGGCTTGTCGATCCCGGTTGCTTTCCAGAACCCAGACCCGGTCACCCGGTTGGGCCGGATGCTGTTCCGGTACTTCCTCCCCCTCCTGCAGAAGAAGTATCCCTCTTTGTCGCCATCCCCACTTGGCCCTGCAATCATTATTCAAATCACATATTATACAACAAACAAGCTTGAGAAATTGACCATCACATATATACATGTATGCACAACAAAAATTGATAGTACGAGGCAGCCACGTGTACGATCGAAAAGCTCCCACCAAATTTGAACTTTGCATAGATCTAACATTGTACCATGACCTCAAATTAATTGCTAGCATCGGATTATAATGAATCTAACGTCGTACAAGACCTTAGGTAGGCCAAATGGAGGAAATATGTGCATGTTTGACAACTCTGTCCAAGGATTGATAATTCAAAATGATCAATGATTGATTGTTGTCAAATTGAGAATCACATGATAGGAAATCCATGAATCGATAAGATCTCAATAACATTTGCTTATTCCTCTGCTGCAAGTATGATCGAAACCCTAATATGCTTGGACTACTGTTACTCAGTTGCACCCTAATTTTAACGGTACCAGCAGTTGAGTTTACAATATCAATTTTCCTCACTATATAGAGAGAAAATCTAATACAACTGACATGGATCTGCATGAACCCTAGGGATTATGATGATGAGCTCGATTGATATATATGCATGGACTTGGTCAAATATAGAAAACCCTAGTTCATCCCTAAACCATAAAATTAGTTAATCAAGGAGAAGAAATTATGAATGAATTACTTGGTAGATCCCAGGGATCGTATTTGTAGATATCAACTTGCTTGATGAGCTCGATGGTAAGGGGCTTGTTGTCCACCTTCCTCCGGAGGTAGAAGCCCAGCAGCTCTTCATCGGTAGGGTGGAATCGGAACCCGGGAAGCGAAACGTCGTCGTCATCATCGTCTTCTACTCCCTCTTCTCCTTCTTCTTCCTTTCTGTGTTCATCAGCATCATCGCAGCAAGCAGTATAAGTACTAGTATTCATTTCTGTTGGCCCTGGTTTTCCTTTTTCGGTTTAATCTTGAACTCGAAGCGGATAATAAGGCCAGATATGAAACGTTGGAGAAAGGAATATTGAATGAGTGAATGAATGAAGAAAATTGGTGGGCGGTTAGCTGCTCTATATAGGGCGCCCGCCCACTTGCATTGAACAGAAGCTAGATTTTCAAACGGGAGAAGACAGCAAAAGTTATGTCTCTAATTAAAGCGCTTTTTTTTACTGGCTTATTATCATTTGAGTCCCCATACTATCTTCTTTTTACTAAATATATCCTCACGTAAACCTTTTTAACAAATAAGTATTGTACTATGTAATTTACCCATTTTTAGTCCATTTGCTAAAGATTTATGAGCTTATGTTACGCATGCATGCACACACGCATGTCTCCTTGGTTACTCACATGTCATGCATATTCAAATGATATCTTTTATCCGATAGTTTGACATCAATAATCAGTTTTAATCCCGTTAAACTCTAAATGACGAATGCACATGCACCGTAAACAAGAAAAAGGATACGTGGGGTTTGGAACTCTAATATAGGTGAACAATTGGAATTTCAAGCTTTCAATCAGTTGAATCCTACGAAGGATATAAAATCAATGAAGGGATAAAAAAAAATTGATAAATGGCCAAGGATATAAGGTGCTTAATTCTTTGTTCAAGTTAAAGGATACAAGGATATATGTGTTTGTCAAAATAACATAGCATAGGGAGTAGAAGCATATGATGTGTTTTCTTGGTGACTTTTATTTGGGCTTGATATCATTTAATACTTTCTAATTAATTATAAGATGGTGAGTGAGTGAGGGAAGAGAGTTTGGTTGGTTTGATTTGCTCCAAGTCAAGTCATGAAGTTTGACTATGGAGAGTTTTCAATGATGTTGATGGATATTTGCTTTTATGGCTATGTGTGTGGTCTTAATTAATTTTTGTTTCTTCTTTGGAAAGAGTCCTCTTTTCTTCCTTCGCTAGCTTTCCGTTCCTCTAATGTCTACCCTCTCTGACTTTTTTTTAATTATTTAGTTGCCATCACAGACCTCACCAATTCTTAATGTCTCTTAGTATTATTTGATTCTCTACTAGAAACTAAAACACAAAAGGTTAACAACTCTAATGCTTATTTTTATGATTCAATTCGTGCAAAAAATTGTAGTTATATACTTACAATAGATGCATAAAAAATGTTTTAATGTTCCTAATTAAGTTTATTGAACAATGTTGGAGGGTTGTAGCATGCATGTTATCAACTTTGAGCCAACAATTATCCAACAAAAATTTGTGTGACATATTTAAAATGATATCTAATATCGAAACTTGTCAAACCTGTTATATTATGTGTTTAAATCAAGTTTTTATATGGGAAAACGGTGGTGATCAGGATTTTATACGAGATCTTTTAGTAACATAGTCCTAATAAATTAATCATAATCACTTAGTTGTTCGTAGATGATGATAACCATCAACAACTTATTGAATGATCCTAATTACTCTTTGGTATTCTTTCCGACGGGCGACGGCCCCACTACCAAAAATTTGGATTTTGTCATGTTTCCAAAAACAGCATCAATTTCTAGTTTAGACGCCAATTCCAGCTTAGTAGCTTACGTATATTATGCCAAACCTTAGTTTTTCTTTAGCTCAAGAAATTGAATCACCTTGGAGGCGGCGAGCCTATCTACTTGTTATCCTTCTACGTACTTTGGTTCCTTCAAACTAAATTGTCCCAAACTTTTTATCACTTGTGGGGAGATTGCGGTGGAAACTTAATTCTTCTCAATTATTTGAAATGCGAGAGTTGGGTAATAAATTTCAATTTTTTATAGATGTAATAATTATAATGTTTGATTAAATTGTTCGAGAATTTTTAGGAATCTAACTCATGATACAGTACATACCCTTCCCAAAAAATATCGTTTTCTCCTTTCTTGTAACCTCAAATGGTTAGAAATTATGTAGTTTGAGAATCTACATGCATTTGAAACAGTACCTCATTTTCCCACACAAATAAAATTCAGAAAATATGTACATTTCGTACCATTATAACAAGAAAGAACGAAAGAAACTCTACACATCATAATTCCTTTCATATTTAGGGTTCTTAATTTACACTACTAGGTATCCCCAAAGTCTTGTAAGAGCTGGAGTTGTTGACTAAACCTAACCATCTTAAAGGTGCATGCCATTAATCAAAGCAATCATAATTCAACCTGTTTTAGGCACATTAACACAAACCCTAATGGCCATCAGGCCCGTTAGTCTCCCCTTCCACATCTTCAAACTCGTTGTTTTTTTAACGGTTTCAAAAGGATGCCCTAACGTGTATAATTAATCATTCAAAATTCAATGTGTCACGTCATAAATCTCTCTTAATCTCAACAACTTATAAATGAAAATCTCGTACTAGGATTTTCTTGATTCAAAAGTAAATCACATAGTGTTTAATTAACATTGTGAATTCTAAAATCTCCAATGACATCAAATATACTGTTCCTCCTTGTATCCATCTTATTTTCTACCAAGTTAAATAAAAACGTTGAATTTGTTCCTTTTCATTGTCTTCCTATAAATCCAAACTTGTAACTTGATTGGGTCTAGAAGGGGCAGAGCACAATCTCTGACCAGACCATTTCCTTATCACCAAAGGTAGAGAGGAGCCAAATACGAGTACTATTCAGGGCTTCAAATGTGACATATAAACATAGGTCCCATAATGCAAACATAATATTTGGTCAACTTTTCTGTCTCATTTATGAGGTGGCTGACTATTATATTACACCCAATTTTTGTCTATCTCTATTCTCCACCTCATCATTTCATTTCATAGGTTGAAAAAAAAACAAGAACTCTTTGACTTGCCAAAAAGAGCTACATGCACATTTCAGACTTCTCTAGCTATCCGGTTCTTCTTTTAAGAAAAAAAAAACATGTATAAAATTCACATTTTACTGTTAAATCATAAAACTTTTACTTGATGTAAATGATTGACTAATACTATCTTGATCTCAAAGAAAATCGCCAAAATATTCATTTGTGCATATGTTCTTGCATCAAATTTAATATTTCCGAGCGGTTTCATCCAATTTCATAACAAAGTGCCCAAATGTACTGATCATCAAAAAAAAAAATATATATATATATAATCATAATACTTGTCCTTTCCAGTTTGTCATATAAGTATTTTTAGTTTTTACGCTAGTGGAAGTAACTATTGTTTGGTCATACATAGACCAAGTTGATTATTTCTTAACTTTTCAAATTTTTCTCATGGATGGTCCAAACACAAAATAATTATTTATTATTCTGTGACTTACCAAGTAAATTTAACTTAACTTCTAGATTGTTTTGTTTCAACATAGTTAATCCTCCCGATTCAATTGCTTATCCACATGCATATATATATGGTTTAAGGTTTGGTACATCTGCCAGGCGCCAATAAGTTCCAACCTGCAAGTGAGGAAAGCCTTATTAAGAAGCTTCAAAACAATAAATAATAACAAACTGTACATAACTTATCACACTAATTAAAGATCGCCGCATCCAACATTTAAACTGCCACTGGGACTTAACAAGCACACGGTTGAATCTTTCGGGCAAAAAGTAATTTACATCTTTTAACCACTCCCAAGAAATTGAGTTGCACCTGATGAAAGGTTGCTTGGAAGCATCATCTAATAATGAACCTCCCCATTGATTAATTTAATTTACCCTTGACGACGGAGACGTTCTCGTAAGTTATTGGGATGCATATATATGGTTCTCTATAGTTCATATCATATTAGATTGTTTCCAAGACTACTTGAAAGTTTATACTTTGTATGTTTTGATTCCGAATAATCTCGAAAAGTTTACACTTAATTTAAGCACAACGCTCGATTATTGTTATGTATAGACAAATGTAGCTGTTGGGCTCTAGTCTTGCTCAATGAGATGCACCAAAAATTGAACAACATTTTGAACTCAACATCACCTACTTTGGATCGATAGGAGCTATCGGATAGGGAGTGCGAGAAACGGAGGTGACCTGGTTATTATATAAGATTGTTCGTCTTGTGGGGAGTTGGATAATGGCTCTTATATTGGTGTACATGGATAGATAATATAGGGAGCAGGCTAAGATGTTTAAGTTTGCAGGAAATTTTGAGGTTCATTCTTGTTTATCTTTTTTGTTTTTTCTCCGTCAATCTGTGTTAGATTACATTTTATAACTGAACACGTGTGCACTGATGTGATGACTACACATTTTTTGCTACAATCCTCCCAATTAGATATTGTCATTTTTCAAAATATATGATAATATCTAATTCATTTATCTGTTAATATATTATACATGCTGTAAGGAAATAATTAAATACCATACATAAATCTTTTCAACAATTCGAATTATTTAAACCAGTTGATTTATCACACATTATTGTAGGGGGAAAAAACAAACAAACAAAACATTACCTACATGCTAATAACATAACCAACTGGCTAGCTAATAGAATAGTATGAATGTGATGAAAGCCATTATTTTTTGTAAGTGGGCCAACCGCTACTGTTTAAGCAGTTGCTTATGATCCAAATTAACCTTTTGGTTATTATTCTGTAACAATTGCATTATCATATATATATGATGTCGTATTGGTTATGAGGAGAAGGAATAGAGATGAAGAAAATTCAAAGAAAGGAATAGATAACCACTACAATTAAGTATTAACCACCAGAAGAATAGACAACCAATTGACTCCAGGTGTACCCTTCGCCATTTTTCAAGTCAAGACACAATTCGTTGCATTCAACAAGTCAACCCTGTAGTTCAGCTCCAGTCAAACATTTATGAACCAATCTCTTGCCCCACCTTTTTATTTATTAGACTTGTTCGATCTTTGTTGCTCGACGAACCAGACAACTTTGGCGTATTGGTTCTTTGATAACCAAAGCGTTACCTAGTTAGAAACTTTTTTTTTCTCTCCATACAATCGATTTCCTTGCATTAAATTA